AATACAACAGTCTTGCCTTTAAAAGGCACCTTGTAACAATTTCTAAAACCATCATGAGTAGCCTTACTATCAAACTGCCAAGGCCTACCTAATAACAAGTGTCCAGCAAGCATAGGGGCTACATCACATAATACATCACAAGTATAAACTCCAACAGAGAAAGTAATCAACACTTGCTTAGAAACCCTAATTTCAGCAGAATCATTCAACCATTGCAATTTGTAGGGCTTAGGGTGTGGGATTAAAGGTAAAGATAATTTATCTACAAGTAAAGTGCTAGCGACGTTAGTGCAACTACCACCATCAATTACCATGCTACACACTTTCTCTTTGATGAAGCATCTAGTGTGAAAAATATGCTCGCGTTGCTCATGTTCATCATCCTCCTTTGGTTGAATATTGAGAGCTCTTCTTGCCACCAAGATAGAGTCAACTACACCATTGCATTCAAGCTCATCATTTGATTCATGGGAGGTAGAATCATCATCAACATTATCAGCATCATCTTTATCACTTTCATGCACACTATCATAGCCACCATCATCTCTCAAGATCATAACCCTTTTATTGCTACAATCTCTCGCCATGTGGCCCACACCATGACATTTGAAACACTTAATAGGAGAAGTGTTAGATGAATAAGAAGAAGGTTTAGGGTTAGAAGTTTTACCCTCATACTTGGTCTTTATTTCTTCCTTGGCTTGGGATGTATCTTTGGCTTTGGAATCCTTCCATTTGGAAGTTGTCTTGGAGTCTTTCCAAGAGGACTTGGAACGTTTGTTCTTATTTCTCTGCTCCAACTTTATAGCCTTGTGTATGAGCTCTTCCTTGTCCACAAAAGTGTACAAGTCAAGCTTATCTCTCAACTCTGGCCTCAAGCCATCCATAATTCTTGACATTGCTTCACGTTCATTTTCTTGAATGTTTGCACGAAACTTTAAGATATTCAACTCGTGCACATACTCCTCCACTGTCATAGATCCTTGAGAAAACATTCTCAATTTTCTATTCAGCTTGTATAGTAGTAGCTGGGGACATAAGCCTTTCTCAAGTACCTTTTAAGCTTCTCCCACGTTTTAATGGGCTTTTTCCCAAGTTGGCTTCTTTTGTACTGTAAATCTTGCCACCAATAAACAGCATAGTCAGTGAAATTCAAAGAAGCAGTTTTTACCTTCCTTGACTCAGACAAATCAAGAGTCATGAAGATTTGGTCCATCTTCATTTCCCAATCAAGGTATTTTTCTGGATTGTTGCTTCCCTTGAATGAAGGATACTTTACTTTTTGGTCCGGTAAGTCAACACCACGCTTTAAGGATTTCTTTCCCTTAGGAGAAGGGGGTTCTTCATACTCCTCATCATCGCTGGGGATCTTATGCTTCTTTCCTTTAGAAGAGGAAGTCTCCGGCTCATCTTTATCCTCTTTATGGAATCTATGATCAAGTTCCAAGCGAAACTGCTGCAACTGTGTTTTGATAAGTTCTAAAACAGAGTTCATATCAATACTAGGGGATTCATCCTTGTTACTCATGTTCACAGAAGCACTAGAAACCATATAAGATAAAAATAGGTCCTCACACACACAAACTCACGTGTTTACTCTCAAGATAAAGTCACTCGTGTTTCACACAAAAAAAAAGTAATGGCTTTTTTTTTTTAATGATGAAAAACACACTTGCCTTTTACCACTCACTAAGCTTGTGGGTAGAATCCAATGGTGAAACCCACAAATCAAGAAACTAAGGAACAATCAAGTGAATATCTTCTAAATTAAGGAAACTAGAAAACAAGCACAAGGTGAAAAGAGGATTTTTTTTTTTTTTGCAATTTTGAAACAAATAGGAAAGCAAAATTTTCAAATAAAATTAAGCTTATTAAAGGAAAAACCACACGTGACAACAAAAATAAGAAAAAAAAGAAGTAAAAGTCAAAGAGTCAAATACTCAAAGACACAAATAAAAAAAATAAATAAAATAAGAGAGTAGCACAAATAGCAAATAAGAGAGTAGAGAATTTGAAAAGTGCTACCAAAAATAAAAAATAAGAAAGTGATCAACGTAAAAGACTTTCTTATCACCCAAGTTGACTTTTCTCTTTAAGCAACCTCTTGGTGACTTGGAGTTCAAGAATAGCCTTTTTCTACAGTCATAACTCACAGCAATATATTTTTTTTTGTAAATTTTTTTTTTGAATTTTCGGATTTTTTTTTCTCTTTTTTTTTCTCAACACACTAACACTTTTTTTTTGCCTTTTTTTTGCACGAATTTCTAGGTATTTTTTTTTGAGAAGGCTAATAAAATGAAAACTCACATAAGATAAAAAGTCACAAAGATGAAGAAGAGAAAAACCAAAAGATAGAAGTAGATGGGGTAGATAAGAGATGATCACAAAAAGAAATAACTCAAGATGAAAAAGAAGAAGGAAGGACAAGAATTTAAACCAAAACTAGCAACCAAAGCTCTGATGCCAATCTGATAGGGACGCGGAAGCAGAATCGTGCTAGTTTAGGGACAGAACCTTGAAACAACAAAAACACAAGAACAAAAAGAAAGGGACGAAATTTATGACGGAAATAAAGAAAGGTATGAAGTAAACAATAGGATAATGATCAAGGAGAAGATCCTCTAGAGCACCTGCCTCTAGGAACCTCAACCTTCGAAGACACCACAAGAGTTGATCACGCTCTTGATCACGTCAGTTTCTCACACAGGATACCACCACAAAGCACTAAGGCTCACAAGAGTTATAAACTCTAAAATGAATAATTTCATTCAACTTCTGTGTTGTTTACAATAGGGAGCATGCCTAATTTATATAGGCTCATAGAAAAATATTTCCTAAAATTAAAACCCTAATTTCCTAATACTAAAAGGAGAAATAATGATAAAATATTCAGCCACATAATTTAGGAGATGTGATCCTAAAATTATGGGATTACAAAATTTAGAAATTAATATTATAATTAATTCTAACCTTTGACTAGACTCAAAATAGAAAATCAAATCAAAGGACCATTAAAATAGGAAATAATTTAGGAGACAATCAAGGGATGATAAAGGATTTGAAATCACGCCACCCTTGACTTCTTTACTAGGGTTTCATGCCTCCTTGCATGCAAGAGGCTCAACTTGCAGTCTTCCTTGCATTGGGCTAAGGTCTGCATCTCTTGGGCTTGACTCTTCATGAGTTTGGATCTTAAATACATTATACACGTATAGATGCTCTCCTTTGGACTTGAGGGGAGTGCCCCAATGCTCTCCAAGCTCTTGAACTTCTTGCACAAGACTAAACAAGGCTTGCTTCATGGCTTTGGTTCGGGCTCTTGTCATTGGACCTCCAATATGTTGCAATGGGTCTTTAGGTACGTTGGATTGGAAGTATTGGGCTCCTTCTATGTCACCATGCTCATGATTACCATCCTCAGGCTTCGTTGCCATTAATGCTATGTCACCCGTGCCATGGGGTCCATCAGTAAGGAGGGGGGGGGACCAGTAGGGGCTGCACCCCCCCCAACACATACTTCCAACCCTTTAAATTTTATAAAAACTTTATAGTATATATATTTTTTTAATTTTGACTCCCTTATTTTTAAATTCCAGCTCCTCCCCAAAATATATTGCCTTTTTATATAAAAAATAATTCATTCAACATGAATCCTGACAATGGGTAAAAGAGAAAGACTAAACGTTAAATCAAAAATGAAGGTAGAGCCTTTATCATGTGACTAATATTGAAAAGTGATTAAGTATTTTTGAATGCAAGACCATAAATTAAACCGCACAGAAAAACCATATAGTTTCTACAATCAAAAAAAAAAAAAATTGACAAACATTGTAATATTAAAATTTCAATGAGATGTCCAGTGAGTCATAATATGATTACATCTATTTGTCTCTCTATAAATATGGTAAAAAATGAGCTACTATCTAGTCCCTCGAAGAATAATTAAGTTGAATGAGTAATGAGAGACCAAAATAATAGTTTTAAACTTAATATAAATTCTCTATATAAAAAACAGAACAAATAAAATATATTTTGCTAAAAATGAGTGACAGAGATAAAAATAAGGCATCAATTTTATGCAAAACTCATATATAGTTAGACCGGGTGTCGTGCATTTATACAAAATCCAAAATAAACCAAATTGTTTACAATTGGTAAATTGAATAGCTTCCTATAATTTTGATAGTTATATTTGACTTTATGAAGACATTAATAAACCACCCAATGTTGAGAAACGTAAGTCAAAAAAGTAGTCCCACCAAAATTTAATAAGAGGACCCCTTGACTAACTGTACTAAAAAGTGATAAAGATAGGATCACAAGAATACAGAAGTTCAGATTAATTGATCTTGAATGCCCAATGAAATTAAAGCAGCCTCATTTATTGATTTAATGTGAAGATATGGGTATCCCACCGACACATAATGTTGGTAAACAAAGTCAAAAGAAGCAGTACCACCAAAATTTAAGGGAAAATTATATCTAAAAATCTTTGGAAGATATTTATTACAGGAAAAGACTAAATAAATTTGAATTTGCTTGGTAAATTAAGGCACATAAATGTAATTCAAATCTACGGTCATAGCAAAAAAATTTCTGAGGTGTAGCTAAAAGGGTTTAAACCCAAGATCTCATGACACACTAAAAGATTTATAGCTACCAAGCACATGTTTGCATTTATAAATTGACATTTACCTAATACTTATTTAAATAACTGTCAAAAGTACATTTAAAGTATATCTAAAATATATTTTTATCAAATTTAATAAATAATTGAATCCTTTAAATACATTCTTATCACTTTATCAGATATAAACTGAAGATCAAAAACATAATTTTCGATCTACTTATTTGTTTGACGGTAAAGTTGAGTCGTTGAGTCGTTGACGGTAAATGTTACTGGCAGTCAATATAAGATGGACTCTGATTGAGAAGGAATAATAAGCCTCACTTCATTTGATGAAATTCTAAATCGTCCTAGAAAGAGAAAAACCCTTGAAATGGGATCTTTCATTCTCCAATCTGGTATTGTGTCAGGCTCTCTTCAGGTCATCCTTGATCGATTCACAACATTCGCTCAAAGAGAACTCGACAAAGTTTTAGGCGTTGATGATGAGCTTAAGAAACTAGAAAGGACAGTATTGAAGGTTCAGGCTTTTATCGATTCTCTTAGCAACCAGCTTCAGTGGCCTTCAACTCCTCTGGCGTTAAAGCTCTGGATTCGGCACCTCCAAGACGTGCTTCACGATGCTGACGACCTGTTGCATGAGATTGCCTTGGAAATTTCAAAATTTACTTCTAATAGACCAACCGACACAGAACAGGTACGAACATTGATTCTCTCCAGATTTGATTTTAGCCTTCCTTCTCAAGTAGTGAATATGCAACGTAAACTAGAAGACCTAGTGAAAGAGATGGACGGAATGTTTGCTAGTGAGATATTGCTGAAGGCGACGCAAACTATTGAATGTAATTGGAAACTGCACACTTCTAGTTCATTAGTGGACGAGTCATATGTGGTAGGAAGGGAATATGATAAAATTGAAGTTGTGAATATGTTATTGTCGGACGGAACGGACAGAGAATCAACTTCTGTAATTGCAGTTGTGGGCATGGCAGGGGTCGGCAAAACAACACTTGCAAAGCTTGTTTATAATGATGAGGCTGTCAGGTGGAAATTCGACTTGCTAATTTGGGTGACCATTTCTGTGGAGAACAGTGTAGAGAGAATCTCAAAATCAATTTTTGAGAGTGCTACTGGGAAGATGTTGGAATTATCAGATCTGAATCACATTCAAATAGGATTGGAAAAATTGTTGGCGGGAAAGAAGGTGTTGATTGTTCTAGATGACATGTGGAATGAAAATACAAGTCACTGGGATGTCTTGCGGTTACCATTTAGAGTTACAGCAGAAGGAAGTAAAATCTTGGTGACTACACAAAGCATGAGAGTCTCCAACATTGTTGCTACTACTCCACCTTATCATGTACACACTTTATTGGATGAAGATTGTTGGGCTTTGATTAAGAAAAGAGCCTTCCCAAGCATTGAGCTGGATGAGCGCAACGATTTGGTGGAAATTGGCATAAAGATAGCAGAAAAGTGCCAAGGGTTACCATTAGCTGCAAGAATCATTGGGAGTGTTTTGCATTGTAAATCGGATAGAAATGAATGGGAGGCAATATTAAATAGCAAATTTTGGGAATTACCTGAAATTGGGAATGAAATTCTTCCAGCATTGACACTAGGTTATCATCTTTTGCCTCATTGTTTGAAACGTTGCTTTGCTTATTGCTCAATATTTCCTCAAAATTTTGAGTTTATACAGGATGATTTAGCTCAACTATGGGTGGCAGAAGGGTTCATCCAACCCCAACCAAGGAGAAGAATTGAAGATATTGGTAGAGACTACTTTGACATTCTGTTGCAAAGGTCATTTCTCCAATTTTCACACCGTGACCATAACAATCAACAAGTGTATAAAATGCATAATCTCATTCATGAGCTTGCTCAATTTGTTTCTGGGGAATTATGCTTTAGAATGGATGATAATATTGACACGTCACATCTATGGCCTAATTTCACAAATGCTAGACACTTATCTTTTGTTTCTGATGGCAATAACCGGCAGTCTTTGGAGTTGTTTCGTAAGTGCAATCACCTAAGAACGTTGCTGTTTTTTTCATCAGAAAGACAAAGCCATGTTAATGATATCTCTTATGAACTCTTTCTTAGTCTTCATCGTATCAGAGTGTTGAATTTGAACTACACCAATATCAGTGAACTTCCTGATTCTATTGGTGCTTTGAAACACCTCCGTTACCTTGATGTTTCAAACACAAATATTGAAAAGTTGCCAGAGTCAGTGACAAGTCTACATGGGTTGGAAACACTTAAGCTGAAAAATTGTTTCAACTTTCTTCAGCTTCCCATTCACATGAAGAATCTAACAAACTTGCGACACCTTGAATTGGATGTAAAGCATCAAATAACATTTATGCCACCAAACCTTGGAAACTTGACAAATCTTCAAACACTATCTGCCTTTATTGTAGGCAAGGAGAAAGGGCAAGGGATCGAGGAGCTGAAAAATATGAATTTCCTGCATGGATCCTTGTGCATCACTAACCTTGAAAATGTGTCAAGCGTCAAAGAAGCTGTCATGGCCAGGTTAGACAAAAAGCAATACATAGACAAATTAGAGTTGCAATGGAATGAGTTTAAAGTTGACTCAACTGAACAAGTTTTAGCAGGACTTAGACCCCACTCTATGATCAAAGAGCTAACTATATCAGGTTATGGTGGCTTTATGTTTCCAAGTTGGTTGGGTGATCCATCATTTAACAAGCTTGAGAGTATTTATTTGCAAAAATGTCACCATTGTCGGCACCTTCCTCAACTTGAAGGGCTTCCATCTTTGAGATCTTTGTACATTAATGAGATTCATGATTTGCTATCACTCCACATTTTTCGTGGTTTTCTACGTTTGCAATCACTTACATTGCAAGACATGCAAAATCTGCAGCAATTTGATTGGGATGAAGGTGCCATGCCTAAGCTACACCAACTTGTTATAGTAGATTGTCAAAATCTACGCTCTCTTCCTCAACTTCATCATCTTTCTTGCCTTGAAAATTTAGAGATTATGCATTGTCCTCAGCTCCAATCATTGCCGAATGACGGACTGCCAACTTCATTGGAATCTCTTATCATTGTACAATGTGACATTCTAAGAGAACAATGCAGAGAAAATTATGATCAAATGTGGAGAATACAAAGGGTTGAGATTGATTATGAGCCCCTCTGAATGGCAGTGGCATAATTTCTTGATTGGATTTTCATGCACAAAACGATTTCTCTTTGGCCTTAACAGTCTTGATGAGATGGAAGATTTCTATTAGAAGTTTGAAGGAAGAGGTGAGCTTTCCCGAATAGAATATATTACCATAACTTGTTTCTCCATGCATAACTACATGAATATTCTGTATATCCTATTTACTGTTTTCTTAAGCATTTTTCTTTTTTATTCCAAATAGATCAATTCGACCCCACTTAGTAGGATAAGTCTTGTTGTTGCTGTTGTTGTAGTAGTAGTAGTATTCCAAATAGATCAATAGACTGTAATTGAATACTATTATCATGTTGAAAATATATCCTCCATTTCAATAACACGTGCTTGAACATGCTTTCTAGGACATCTTCATTATTGTTCTGTGTCAAGTTCCCTTGAAAGGTTAGGAATGATTGTTGAATGGGGCCAAATCTGTTGCTGAAATTTAAAACCACTGTTAAGTTTTCATGCAAGAATGGCCATCACAAATACAAGAATAGAAGTTTTGGAGCTTTAAGTATGTTTCTCTACATGCTTAGGTAGACTGCTATTCTGTTGCTTTTGGATTAGCAAATAAACGTTTTTCTCTTATTTTTCTTGTTTCTCCTAGTATTTCTTTGTGTACTTAGTTTGTGCTGTGTTCTTAGTGTAGTTTATCCTTGTAATTAAGATTTAAACTTTGATCTGAGATAGTTATGAACTCTAACATACAGTATGTTACGATGGTCCCATTTACTTGCAATCAATAACATGATTGAAGAGTTTCATGGTGGAACTTTGAAGCACGCAACAATTTCTATTTTCTCTTTACATTATTTATATGGCAGAAAAAGATGAAAATTCAAGTACAATTTGCTGGTGCGTGACCTGTCCAACTCTGAAATATTCATCGTGTCCCATCCCATTGTCATTCCTGATAGCAGGTGCATGTGAGAATCTGCAGAGGAAAGCTAAACCAGAGATTAATAATCCCTTGTAGTTCCTAGAGCAATATGATAAGCTATATAGAACTAGAATGTATAGCTGCATGGATGTTTTGTATTTCCTATTATTATCTCCTCTTGGAATTTTCCTTGTTGATTCCAAGTTGCCCAATAGGCTGTGATTGCATTCATGCATAGGTGTGCTTGTGAGTTTTGGGCGGGGGGATAAGTGTGCGTGTGCCAACAGAAATTTGCAACAAATTTCAAGAAAAATCCTTTGTAAATTGATCCTGCAATGGATTTTTCCATAGAAAATAAGGGTGTCACTATTTTTTTTTTTTTTAATGCATTTCATGATAGGTTGCAAAATTTGTTTGGTGAAAAGTCCATCACAGATTTCCTCATTTTGATTTTGCTATCTGACTGGGACAGATTTAAGTATCATCGAGCTCAATTAGGGATAGTTATTCTAAATATGTTTTCTATATCCACACAGACTCAAACATGAGGCCTCGTACTTAAGTGATCATAGGCTCTTCCACTAGGACCAATTTAAGTCCGACTAATGGATACTCTGGCATGTCATGCTCTTGACAATTTCTCCCATCTTATCCTATGTCTTATTTCATTCCTGTCTCTAATTGCAGATAACTATGAGTAGTTGAAGAGGACTGAAGAGGTGAACCAAAGATTAACAATCTGCTCTAGTTTTTAGTAGGGCCGTGCATAGGGCTGCTGTAATGACCTAGGAGTTTAAATTAAAAATTAAAATTTATGATATGTATTCTAATTGAGTTTTTATTAATTTTTTGGGGCAAATACAATAAGAAGGGATAGTTTTATGGTGGAAATTGTGTTGACAATTAATCCATCAAGTCCTTGGTTCGAATCTTGTAGATGTATGAGAGGAGTTTTATTTTTATTTTGGTCTTTGATTAGATGACCATTATCCCTCTTGGAATTTAAAACAAAAAACAAAAGAAAGGAATGATACGCACGCACATAAGATCCGAGTATTTCCTTCCCCTTTCATTTTTTTCACCTTAGCAGAAATCGATATAGCTAGAGTTAGTTATAGAAGCTTCGTCCACCACCATTCTCCTTTCTCCTTTTTGTTCCTCAATCATCCGCAACTATGCGGGTCTGCCATTTGTCTGCCGTTTTGGTGGTTCTGTGGGTTTTGATCTCTTTTTATTCCTCCCCTGTTTCGGCACCGTCAGTCTTGCTTTCTTCCTCTGCTGCCAGTCCGTCGCCGGTCAGTGTTTGCCGTGAGTTCACTGCTGTTGAGGTTTGATTGAGTTCACTGCTGTTGAGGTTTGATTTGTGAGTCTGTGTTTCCCTGCACTTCCACCAGTCCTTTCTTGGTTATATTTCTCATTGCCGGCATTCACCTCTTCCATCATTGTGCTTTTTGTGGTGTGGGGCGTCGGACGTTCTTCTTCCTCCTCCTCCATTTTTCGCTCAAGCAACTCCTCTTGTTTCTGATATTGATAACCTGAGGTGAGGATTTTTGAGTTCTCTTTCATGCTGATTTTGTGAGTGTATTTAGAAAGCTATAATTGTGATCTCTCTTCCTAATGTTGCTGCCATCTATGACTTTGTTTAGAGTAGGATTTGAGTAAAGTAAAATTTAAAGGTTAAGTGAATATTTCCATTGAGTAATTTGTATAGGGTCGTTTTGGGTTATTTTCAATGCAGAATAATGTGGATTTGGTTCTAACTGATTTTGCTCTAGATTAAATCTACATATTGGTATTGAGAAATTTTGGAAAGGATATTAAGGAAAAAGAGGCTTGATATTTGTTTGAATTTGGATGCACATGAGATGTTTGATAAAATGCTTGAAAGGAAGTTGGAATTAGAAATAGAAATTTTGAAGAGAATGTTTTCATTGATAATTCAGATACTAAATTGCTATTTATGTATTGATTTTCAGAATATCTATTGAATGTTGTGGAATTGTAGGAAGCTAAATAAAATTTTAGTGCATATTAAGGAGATTGAAAGAGAAATGAACTTCTTGTTATGGTTTAAGCAATAGTGCTTCCAAGATATTCGATACAGTGTCTGTTAGAATGAATTTTGTTTGGTTATGATCTTCCAGAAATTTCATTAACTTTTATGAGGACGTAATTGGTTTAAGTGTTGATTATTTATGGGTTTACATTGAGTTTTGTGAAGAATTTTGATTGTGAGACAAATTAGATTTTGGAAATTGCATGGTTGATGAATATAAATGATAATATTGTTTTAGACTTCATTTTGGAGATGCACCTAAGGTGCTTGATAAGATGAGTGATATAAGAACTTTGAAACTTCAACGTGATTAAGAGTGGTATATATTTATATGCAAGTTTAGTTTTATATATATATATATATATATACTTGAGAAGAGTTAGATAGAAACAAAGTGTTAAATAGAGAGAGATATATATTAAGTTTAGTAGAGATTAGAGGAATTAAGGCATAAATTATTTTTAATTGAAAACTTAGGTGATCATAGTGTTGTTGATATTGTAAAAGAATTTATTAAACTTGATTAAAGATTATTGAATTGTCTTTTATATTGAATAGGGTGTCTAGAAAAAAGGAAGATTTGACTCTAAAGAGTGAATTTGCACTTGAAAATACTACAGGCAAGTAGATAACATCCTAACTGATTTATCAATAAATTTTTTTTTCAAGATATTTTTTACATAGATCATTCAATAACAATTATATTACATATTTAACATTTTGTTAATTAAATTATTTTTTTTCCAAAATTACTTAAAAAAATATTTTCAGTCAATCAGGTCAAACCTTGGCACAGGATAGGAGTGATGCTTGGCCTAACCTTATTCATGTGCAACTCTCTTTTTAATAGCGATATGACAAATTTCCAAAATAGTGCTATATAGATCAGCATATCTTGTGTTTCTATAAACTACATGGATGTTTTGTATATCCTGTTACTGTCATTTAGGAATAATCAATCAGCATGTTTGGGAATCTGTTTGAGTTTGCCAAGAACTTGAAAAAGTTTATCACAAACGGAAGTCAAATGGACTTTTTGGAGTATAACAAACATGTTGAATATGTATATATAAAAGCTAGCAGGAGCATTATTATTTACAGTCACGAATAATATGGATCGATGCCAAAAATGAAGTGTTAATGATTCCAAGTTGTGAAATGTGCAGTAATTTACTCAAATGATATATATATATATATATATATATATGATAATATTCAGCTTTTTTTATTTTTCTCGTAATTTTGTTGTCGAGTCCAAAACGTTATCTTCTTTGCCATCCTTGAGCTTCACGTCTCTGTTAATGATTATTTATTTTTATTTTCTTACAGACTATTATTATCTAGCATAGCTTTTTCACTTAGTAGTGAAGGTTTGAAGTGTGCATTTGGTATTTCTTGTCTCCTTAATATTTTGATTGCCCTTTGATTCAGAAAAAAGCAACTTTATTCTCTTATATTTCTCAAATGACTCCATTGTATGATACATTTATTCCACTCCACTCTGATAAACACTTTAGCTAATTATATAATTATATATGACCTCACCAAACTGAATATATCGAAATTGGGAAAATTAGTTCTATAAAAAAAAAAAAAGAAATTGGGAGAATTAGTTGCATTCTTAAACACGTTCAAGTGTCACTCAAAAAACTTATTCACAGATAATATTTAATACGAAATGAATTGTTGTTAATATAAGAACGTGAACTTCTTGTTTCTTGAGTGAGGCTTATTATTAGTTTAGGTTTATGAATAAGTTTTTTGAACATTAACATTTATTTTGATTTAATGGTAAATTTAATTGTTTATGGTACAAAATGGATCAAATATGAGTTTAGAGTTCAAATTACTTTTGGATATATATTTCAGGGTCCAAATTGTATATTAATTATATTATAATTTATATTTATTTTACTTTTAAACTCTATTAACTCTAATAGTTTATTACTTTTAATACTTCTTGCAAAATATTTCTTTGAATATGGATATGCTTCATTATTTAAAATTCTTTAAAAAGGGAGAAGACAAAGTTAACTA